AGGGATAAAAGAGGAAGCCTCTTTTTTGCACCAACATAATTATAAATATTGTAAATTGAAGAAATACAAGAATTAAAGGGGTAGGAGCACATAAGTTTTACTTCTTCCTAGTCCTTAAGGAGGTATATTAACTCAGGAAAGAAGGGTAGCCTACCTTGTTTGTTGTTTTTCTCTTGCATGTTCAAAATAAAGAATAAAAAAAAAAGCTGCATTAGACTGTATCAAAGGACTGGTGGAACGATAGATTTGGGGTTGAGCATACCAGATACAGAGTTATATCACCACATTGAACAGGATCTGAAACACAGACCAAACACATGTTAAAGCTATAGAGGACAATCTTTTATTTCAGAGTGGATCATCAAAATAAGTGGTCCTCCATATTGTCAATCATTCTGGTGATATGTTTATGTAAGGCCGTCCTACGTGTTCACCTCGTTAGCTATCTTTTTCACCACATGCGCATTTTCAGCCACATATCTGTGGTGAGCTACGGTTTCATCCAATCATTGAAGCTCACCTTTCTCACTGCGGTTCTTTGAAAATGGCTGAGGGTCTTAAGAGAAAGTGTCTACAAAGTGTATGAGAAGGAAAGAAAGGCCTCAGAAGAGGCAGATACTGCATATCCCGGGACGATTTACCTGGAGAGCTCTTCTCGCAAAGCATTATGGGATTTGCTCTCATTGCGGCCCGCTGTCGCCATAGGGCGACTAATAACAAAGATGGCACATGCACTGTGTGGTGGAGGAGGAGTCATGGGACCAATGGAGCAAAAAGCAGTGATCATCTGTCCAAACGGTCAGTTAACTGAGTTTGCTATACCTAAAATCCACTATATAGTCCCCGCTGTATGTGGACACAGTAAGCTTGTATGGGCTATAAGAACAGCACATTTTAAACAGGGTGTGCACGAGGAAAAATTGGCTTTTTTTTCAAATTGGAGAGTCTTTTAAAAAGTCCTCCACAATACCTTTAATAGCTATAAAGCACAGAGATGTAGCGGTCTTATTTGGGCTTTGTTTTGCAGCCCCTGTGATCTGAGCAACTGGCTGTTAGTCAATCATGAGCTTCACTGTTGTATAAAAGAGTGAAGTGTGATGCAATTTTTCTGTTGATTGAAGCATATCAATTGACAGAAATGTCATTGCCATCTTGAAGCAAACATACAATTTAATGATCCCCTAAGCATCTGCAAACATAAAGGAGAATGAGTTATGCTTTATAGCCTGTTTATTCTCACCTGAAACAAATAGAATTGTCAAAACATAAATATGCAGTAGGTGTTTTTATTAATGACAGAGGAAAAACATAGATCCTGTCAAAATATCTCTGGTTCATGGTTGAGATCACATGTGACTGATGGCAGGTGGCTAGAAGGTGGGCTTCTTTCCCATTGAGCAAACTCCACATCCGAACCCTTCATCTGTCTCTGTGGCAGGCAGGACTGCGATGTAGTGCCAGAGCTATTCCTGGCTCTCCTGTCACACATACTACAAATATGCAAAGTCACACAAACACACACAAATACACCTGTCTCTGGTCATTTCCTCTCATGTCTTCATGAGCTGGGTACACTAACAATGTCAGGCAGTTGCTGTAGCATGCACCAGCTGTCCCAAGGAGACGGCTTCAGGGCAATCAAAGATAAAATCAGGTTCCTGACTGATGTTACACCGGAGCTACACCAGGAGGATTTTAATGAAGGTATCTGCAGCTCCACAGACCAAATAAGGATGAAACACTCTGAGCTGGTGCATCATCTATTTTACAGGCACATCTTCTAACTGTGATACCCACAGGATGTGCAACCACCAAAAAATCAAACCCTTTCCTTAGCAGTGACTAAGCACTTCATTAAAACACTCCTTCAATCCACCTCCGCTTGGTTTAATTAAACATATAGAACCTTAGTGTCACTGTTTCCCCCAGCTTCTATTAGAAAACCAAAAAAAAAAAAAAAAACTTTTTCTGTAGAAATGTTGAAGCTGCACTTAATTCTGCCTTAAATTGTGGGGGGAAATGAAACCCAGCATATCCTCTGGAGTTTAAAGATCAAAATCTTTATTTCTTTTTTTTGATCAAGATCAAAATCTTGATCAAAATAAAGAAATAAAGAGTGAACAGTACGAACATTTTATTTCTATCAACTGGGTTCCAAAAAGTATGAATTTCCCACTTCAATTTAAACTAAAAAGTACCGAAAAACCTTTTTTTTTTTAAAAAACTTCATCCATTCACCCATCCCTCCATCCATCCATCCATCCATTACCCTTGATATTGCAGTATCTCATGAAATTGAGAAAAAACAAGAAACAAAAAATCAGCTCTCACAGCTTCTATTCAACAAATAAATTTCCACTTGTTAATTGACTGAAACAATATTTTAGGCTGATATGGGCTATTAGTTATCATTATCGAAGCTTGGTGTCAATGGTGAAAAGTTATTATTCAGTCATATTCATTGATTGCAACCTAATAAATGATCAATAAGTCTTTTGTTATATTTTGTTATAAATATGAAGTGAAATTGGAAAGTTTCGTAATAAACAGCTTTTATGGGGCTGAATAACCCTATACTCAAGGGATCTTGATCAGCAGTTCTCTGGATCACTGAAACATATTAAGAGTTTTTTTTTTCTTCTGGTACTGAAAACAACATGGCTTGGGAGAGCACTATTTTTTGTTTGACCTAATAAATCTTGTTGAATCACTTTATTGATGATAAAAAAAAAAAAAAAAAAAACTTTCCTCTGTTTCTCAAGCAAGACATTTTCTTGCTTACCAAGAAGCCCAAATATAGAAAATTTGGCTGGTCATCTGCTGTCTGTTACAATCAGACTCAGTATATTTCTATATTTAAGATTTATTTATGTTATTCGGGTTAATTGTTTAGATTTACTGAAGTAAATGATAATTATTTTTTTTAATATGGCCAGATACTGAACAGAATAATCTAACCAGAAAAGCCTCTGCCAATCTGCACATTTTGCCCCATATTGAGACATAGCTAAAACCTGAACATGATCTGGATCATTACTAAATTCTAATGAATTGTTCCTTGGCATGAAGCAAAATCATAAAACATCATAAAATCTGATAAGTACTTTTCAAGAAGTCCTGCTTACAAACAAGCACTGTACTTTGTTCTTTGATCAGCAGATTGAGACTTCAAGCAAGGCATGAATCTCTTTTCTTGTGTCTTTTTGTATTTCTTTCTTCAGTACAACGCTTCCAGACTTTCTATCCTATACTGAAGCTATCAATAGTAACTGCTGTCATCCTCTGGTTTAGGGGGAGATGCTTGTTCCAAGAAAATATCCCTATCTTACAATGTTAAAGAATTCTTAAAAAAAAATCCTGTATCTAGATTATGATCTGGATCATCACTAACATTTAATGGATTGTCTCTTGGCTTGAGGTGCACTTCTGGTAACATTTTCATTGAAATCTGTTCATAAACTTTCAAGAAATCCTGCTAACAAACCAACAAACACATCAAACATAATCTCCTCGGTAGAGGTAATTATGGCTAACTTAAGATCTTTATATACTACCTCATAACTGTATTGCGTTCACATAACACAAAATCACCATTAACATTTAGGAGCCAACTTTACCATCTTCACTGGAGTTTATTCACTTAATACTGACCTAGTAATTATTCTGTCTTTGTGTCTCAGCCGACCACTCAGAGAGACCTAAACACTGAGAAACCACTGGGGAGCTTGATCAACTATTAGAAATAGCTGCAGCTTCAGACTTGCAGAGCTTGGTCCAAAGTGATGCTGCATTTAGACACCAGAGATGGTGTTTTTTTCCAAGTACAGTACTAGAGCTATTTGATTCATCCATTTTGAAGGATTATACTATTTTTATTGCTTTTTAATGAAAATCTTTTGAAAATGAGGGCTGAGGGATGGAACTAAATGTGACCCTGCCTATGAAAACCCAGCTAAAGTCATTTTTTGGTGAATCTCAACTTAATGTATAAAACCATTCTACACAATGTTAAGAATGGTTTTATACATTAAGTTGAGATTCACCAAAAAATGACTTTAGCTGGGTTTTCATAGGCAGGGTCACAAATGTGAGTAACTCCCTGCAATTTACAATTGTTGGTACAAGAATCTTATCTTTTCAACTCTACCCTCTAACAGTTATTTTCCACAGCATTCACTCTCTTTGTGTTTGTGTTAAGATAAATGTATATCTATCACCAGTGGCGGCTGGTGGAGTTTTCTTCAGGGGGGGCTATAACTTCAAAATATACCAAAACCCAATGAAATGTAAATGAAGGTATCAAACCAGTATATTTACATTAATGCAACAACAAAACTGCTTCAACACATTCATACCTGTCATGCTGTGTCAGATCCTGACATTTGAAAGAAGAGCTAGGAAAGCAGAATAAAGCATTAGCCTTGCTGCATGCAGTTAGCCAAGCCTTGTAGCTAAATAATTATATAAACCTGTTAGGTACCCACACTTTATAAAAGATAAATGTTATGTCAGCTGTGGCGCGAGGTGGTGTGCAAACAGATATGCTTTCAGCTCTGGGCACAGGAGAGCTGCGCCCCAGGATGGTCCTATCTGTTGCATTGCAGAGGAGCTACTGCGCATGTACAACTTTTAGTCTATGGGTAACTCATCATTAAAGATTAAATGTTTAGCTTGCACGTCTACAAAATATACAAATATATTTCTAAATACTATAATTTTAAAACTTAATTTATTTTTTTATTTATTTCTTAATCAAGGTTATTGGGTAAGTGGGACGGCGCCCTCTGTTGGTCAGCGTTACACTGTCTATCACTCAAACTTTAGAAAAACTAAGTTGGAAAGAAAGAGGAAAAGTACAACATTTTAAAAATTTGGATTCCTGCCCTTACTGCAGGATCTTTGGTCTCCGAGTATTCACCAAAAAATAACGCATAAAGCCTTGGATAGAGCTGACATGTTGTAAACATAGAGACTGAGTGCATGTGCTCTTCTCTTCACAGTGTCTGCCCCTCCGTGGTCATGGGTTCGTCCTGGACAAGTACCAGTGTCAGTGTAAGAGAGGATTCTACCACCCCAACAGAGTGGCAGTCAATGGTTTCACAAGTAAGTTGTGATAAATATAACTATCAATAAAATAAATATTTTGCACATAAAGATTTTTTTCTATTTTAATGGAGGCAACCAGATGGATTTGATATATTACATTGCATTTTTAGAGAGATTAGTGATAACCTATAACAGCTACAACATCTTTGGTAGTACAAAGTATGTGCCACTACTCAAATGTTACCTCTACATTACTTTGGTAATTTTTCGGTTAAGATAATTTAGTGTTAATTTAGTTTAGAGGCCAATTTTGGCATACTCCCCTTTCTCGTAAAAATGTATATCATCACAAGATTCTGTATAAAAGTATACATTTTCTAGTCTCCTTGCTAAGTGGTTATTTGTCATATGTGTGAAACAATGTTTCATAACATTTAAACAAAGACCGTCATGTTTTGAGAGTTGCATGCAGGACCAGAATGCAGAAGGGACAATTGAAGCAGTGTTACAAGCATTAAATGAGCACTTTTAATGATAAGCTATGCTACAAGATTCTTGAGGGAAAGGACATAACGCTTAGAGAGAAGTCCAGCAAGTGTACCATAAGGATCCAGAGGAGAAACAATGAGAACAGGAAGGCTTATATACTGAACCAGTGAAGGGAGAAAGACAAAATAACCTAATTAGAGGCAATGTGGATCAGCTGAGGCAAAGTCAAGGAAAGCCACTCAGGTGAGATGTGGAGCATCTGCTAGAATAACCTCCTGAATTTTCTTTCCCTAGAGCAGGCATCCCCAGCCTTGGTCCTCGAGACCCGCTGTCCTGCAGGTTTTAGAGGTGTCACTGCTTTAGCACAGCTGATTAGAAGTTTAATCGCTAATGGACAGGAACTTAAAGGTTATATTGATGTGCTGGAAGAAAAACTGGAAATTGTTTGTGTTCAGGAAACATGGTTAAAAACATCATTAGATTTTGTGATTAAAGGATATGATAGTGTAAGAAGAGATCGAGCAGAGGGAAGTGGAGGAGGATGTGCAATATTTATCAAAAAAGGAATACAATATCAGATATTGGGGAAAGGGAAAGAACTAGAATATGTAGTAATTGAGATATGGGAAAAAGAAGGTAAATTAAAAATAATAAATTTTTATAATCCATGTAAAACATTATCGATTGAAATAATGGAGGAGTTAACTGAATATTTGGAAGGGAAGGTAATTTGGTGTGGAGATTTTAATGCAAATAGTACAGTGTGGGGTA